AACTAAAACTGATTTATTGCACTCCAATATAATAACGATTGTAGGGATACTCTAAGAAAGTTAATATCTAGTACATTTATACCTACCTCAACTTGAGTGAATTTTGCCAAATCCTCATTGGCAAGTTTTTTTTACCAGTCCAGTATTTGCCAGTATTTTAGATAATAATTCAATAATGTACAACATAACCTATTCGCCCAATCGGCTAATTTTTTGTAAAAGTTAAAGACTTTTAGAATTTATTATGTCATGTTAAATGCACTAGTATTATTTTATAATTTTTTTTGAAATAAACATTTTCTTATTCTTGACTCCCTTGTCTTTTTAAGTATATATTTCAAGAAAATTAACACCTTATGTAAAATTTTAGTCCTTTAAATACTGAAAATCATGATTTTCAACTACGATGTCAGATTAATTGATAAAAATTGAAATAGGTAAATATTAGGCTTCTAATTAATTTCATTATAGTCAAGTCTTAGTAAAAGTAAACAAATAATAAATAAATTTGAATCATATTAGAGAAAACTTAAGCTCTAAATTGTTTCATATGCTCGAAATAAAGTAAAAATTGACTCACTTTGGGAGTAACAGAAACTCACATCGAATAAAATAATTTCACCCATGAAATCAATATTGTACTCATATTAACGAAGTAAAAATGTCACTCAATCCGGTATGGACAAAAATTTGTACATTATTGATTGCGTTGTACCTAGTTAGTGATTTCAAAAAATATGCTCAAATATCTCCAAAATGGTTGTATCTATCGATTTGGATCAAAGCAACGTATTTCATTTAATACATTGGCTAGGATGTAAAAAGAGTTTAAATGAAAGCCCCGTTAAAACCACCTTTCCAAATTTTATATTTGATTTTTTTTATCTATTTTCTATGTAGTTATATACAATTTAGCATAGTATTGTAACACTTTTTGTTTCATGCAACATTTCAAAATTGCGTTTTATACACAACTAAGGAAAGCAATATTAAATTTCTAATCTACCATATAATTCCCTTATATTGTGCTATAAAGGATACATTCATATTATTTTTTTTGTTATTTGAATTAGCATATCATATTTTGACGAAATAAAATAACTTAATGATGAAATTAACACTCGTGTGAATAAAATTAACACGCAAGACATGACTACTCTCAAAATACCTTTTATCACAAAAGAAATTGAAAATGGTGATGATTATACTTTCTATAGGTACCCCTGTACGGGTATTAATACATATACAAGTAATAAATCCGTAATTTAATATCTGCCAGGGTATAAAGGTAGATAAGGATAAGTTACCTTGTAAATATCTACATTTTTTTAAAATTTAATTACTACAATAGTAGGTACCTCAGTAACCTTTAAATGAATGAAATGCTTAAACTAAAATTTGCCTTTAACGAATTAACTGTTCCACAATATCTGCTAAGCAAAGACTATATTATTGCCACTAAATATATATTTCAATGAGACTTGTTCCTTTGCATCGGACAGAAGTACATTTTTTAAACAATAATGCTTAGGTACTGCTGCAAATACTGCTTAGTGTATGTACTGTATAAATAAAAGTTGTAGTTCAATTTTGAAAAGAACATATTCTCACTTTAAGAAAAACACATTATGTTAAACAATTAATTGTTTATTGTTAAATATACTCCTCTAGTGAATCATTCAGTGAAAAACGTAAATTTCAGTGAAGAAATCTGTCGTGCGCGCGAACACTACAACAAATAAATTAAAAATGATAATGAAAGTGTATAAAAAGTGAAATTTGTAGTAAACTCACCGCACCGTCGGCAATCGAAAGCAGGTTTTAAAACTACTTTAAACATAAATGACCGTGCTCAAATCGAACGGACTTCTCCTGCAAATTTTACAAACACAAAGTCCGCAGAATATTCCATATATTTTTTTGCCTTCGTTTTTTTGCAGGTCCTAACTTGTCCACGAACAAACTTTTCTTGACGGAGACAAAAACAAATGGACCACGGTGGTTTTCGCGTTTAGCGGAATTTCACTGGTACCTGTCTTTGATAGATAGTTGTGTTGTTGCTCGAAAACGCACCGTATCGAAGCCTTTGTTTAAATAGGTTAGTTGTAAAGATATGAATAATACACCGTCGGGTCGTACTCCTCTTCTGCAAATATTTGAAAATGCGATAACATTCTTTCCGTACCATAACCACCCAACCCATAGGCATTTTTATAATTTTTTTTCAGTCGCTTATAAAATATTGTAAGGAAATGTAATCGTGACTCTATTGTCAATAGGAATAAACAAATTTTGATGTTTCAATGAATATTAAAGTGAGAAATGCAGTACAAAATGGTGATCAAATCGTACTTTATGAGACAGTTGCAAATTAGAACATGCAAAAAGTCGTTAAATTGCCCAGTAGGAGCGTTCAAAAGTATATTTAGAATAATTTCAGTCTTTAATATTCATAGTAAGTATATTTGATGTAGTAAAAAATTAAATGTGGTGAAAAATATTGCCGATGCGTAAAATCTATGACAGAAATAATAAACATAAAATAAACATTTTTTTTTAAATAAAAATTAACGAAAAATTATGTATTTAGTGTAATATACATTTTTTTCTATGAGTATATTCATCATAAAACCTTAATGACACTAATGCCGGTCATAATGACTAACTGACGAATTATATCTCATATAATAATGTTAAAATTGCTTATTTTTACCGCTTTTAAGCAAAATGCTTAGGATACTCATCAGTGTAGATGTATAAACCACTCTAAATGTTATTTCGGTGCAAATTTAACGCTCAATTACTGTACGATCTTGATCTCTCACTGGTACAGATAAATTTTTGTTTTGTGACGTTTTTTATAAAAAAATTAACTGAAACCGAATTTTTATTTTAAATATTATTATCGACCATGATTGAAACAGTGGAAACCTCAAAACATGTAAATCACTAAATTATCAGTGATAAAAATGTTTATTTATGATATAAATTTGATAAAGTTCCATTAACGGCATTTTAACTGTGTGCTAATAAATAAATTAGGCAATTTTAAGTGCTATATTTCCTAAAACAGATATGCAACAAGTTTTTATCTTTAATAAAAGTTAATGTAGTTTTATTACTGTTATTATTTATCTTTTAGACCAAATACTTAGTACACTCATGAGTGTTACTTCAGTATAAAATTTAACACTTACTGCTTGCTTTTTTATAGGCACATTAAGTTGTTCCGTGGCAAATATGATATTTTATAACGAATTTTTATCTAGAATAATATTGTTCAAGAATGAGAATTTAAATGAAATAAAATTGATAAAGTTCGTTTAATATCATTTTAAACAAACTGTGTTAAAAATAAATAAATGAAAGAATTTTAAGTAATATAGTTTCTGAGATAAATCGATTAAATTATTAAAACAAATTTTATCTGGATAACTGATATGTGACACTGATATAAATATTTAATTTTAGCCCGAATAATAGTTTTATTATTTTTTGGGCAAAATGCTTAGTATTCATGAGTTTATATCAGTACAAATCATTCCTCAGTGTTATTTTACCACACATAATTTTTCTGTGTTAAACATGTTTTTATTAAAACCTAATTGAAGTTAAATTTTTATGTAAAATGACAGTATTTGTTATTAAAGCAGCTAAATGCAGTTCACTAAATCATCAGTGATAAAAATGTTTATCTACACCTATAATAAAATTGATAAAGTTCATTTAATTATTATTATTTCATTATTATTAAAGCAGCTAAATGGAGTTCAAAGTCACTAAATCATCAGCGATGGAAATGTTTATCATTAAAATAAAATTGATAAAAGTTCTTTTAATATTATTTTAAGCAAAGTGAATTTAAAAAATAAGCAAATGAGATAATTTTAAGTAGTATAGTTCTTAAAATAGGCTAATTTAAATTGATAAAACAAACTTTATCTTTATATTTGAGTATACCATAATGATATAAATATCTAATTGATGATTTTATTTTGAAATATTTAAAAATTCGTTAGGTAATTATTTTTTAACTTTTTAACAAAATGGCTAAGTAAATATGAATCATATTTGAGTTAAAAACTCATTACCACTCAATGCTTTTGTTATTTCATGTGCGCTGCTACAAATATTTATCATTTTTTATTAAAACTTACTTAACTAAAACGAAGGTTTCATATGAAATAAAATTGTGAATGACGTACATTTAATTCAAGATTGTAACACTTCAAATGATCTAAATCATTAAATTATGAGTGATAAAAAAAATTATTTATGCGTTAAAATCGATAAACTTCATTTAATATGATTTTAAGTAAAGTGTATGGTTAAAAATAAATTTATGAGGGCATTTTAAGACACGTACTTCCTAAAATGGGTCAATTAAGCAATTAAAATAAATAACATCTGGATAATTGCTGGAGAAAACAAACATACGCTCGAGTCGATGGGAAAGTACGCACTAACGCTACAATTTCATTAATCTAAAACTGCGGCAACCGCTCACCGAATGCTGGTTTTGAACACGTAACACGTGATTCGAGCTACCGAGTTACACCTCCAGTCAGACTCGCTACCGGATTACGCGTAGCCCGAAACCTTTTATAGTTCTTAGAAAGAGAGGGGCTTTTATTCGAACAATAATAGTGCTTTCTACGGGCCTTTATCGCGGCTGCGTTTATTGTTTTCCATCGGATTTATGTGTGGGAAACCTGTCGGTTTCGCCGTTTTTCTTGAGAAATATTTTTACGCGTTCCGAGAATATCCGTGAGTTTGATTTGATTTATTTTTACCGGGAAATTGGAAGTAGTAAAAATATTAAAAAGTTATTAGGTTTTATTCAAATAATATATGTAGGTTTTTGTGAAAGCAATGCGAGACATGAAATAATTTCCCGTACGTGTAATTTTAAGTAAGCTTTCTACAAACAAAGAGTGAAATAAAATGGAAGCGTTAATAAACCAACCATTAAATACACGAATAAATAAAAATTCACTAACCTTTCGAACGCTCCCTCGCACTGGGTCTGAAAGCCGGGCAACGCTGGTCTGCTCTTCCAAAAATGCAACTAAAAACGACTACCATCAACTTGTCTGTGGCAAAGTGGAGAAGAGGTAGTTATATTTTGCTTCTGTACTAAACTATGGCTGGTAGCTCAATGATTCTAACAAGTAGTGAGTAGAACGGGAAACCATGGTACCCCCTTCGCCCCTCGCAAGCTCCGTATGGCACTGCCTACTAAGATGTGGGTCTTAAGAGCTCCTAGTATAGAGGCGAACTTACCTGGCGGGATAACACCGGGAGCCACTCGGCGGGTACGGGAATTTGATTCTTGTGGGTGATGTGCTTTAGGATGGCCGGCGACTCGGAGAGTTGATTAAGTTTTTAAAATAATTCGGGGTAATTGTGAGGGGTACTTTATTTCGGTTTTTAGTTGGCTGGGTCCGTGAACGTGTAATAATTACGGGTACTTGAAAAAATATTCGACACGGCGCTCTAACGGAAAAGTTTTTACGGCGATTGGCGGCACGTCCAAGACATAATTTTTTAACTATTAATTATGTAGGCATTATAATAAATTATTTTATTGCTGGATGCGTGATTGTATTGCTAACTGCACTGCATATATTATGTATTTATTGCAAAGCTTATGGTTAATAACCAGGATTTTTCCATAACAGCATATAAAGAAGCTTGTATCTAAATCGTGAATAAATAAATAAATGTTTAAATTAATTACGTTTTAGTGGTAAAAGCATTTTGTAGCAAAAAACAACTAATGTTAATAAATCTGTTTAAAAATACCAGAGATCGTTGTTTACCAGGAAAAATTTAATATACAAACCCATTTCTTTAGTCTTTTACAGGCTTTTTCTATGTCACCTAAATTGTTAAAACTGCTAATCGTTATTTATTTTTTAGTTGAATAAATATGAAATCATTATAATTATTATATCATATTATAAATAAATTAGCTATTAATATAATTTTTAAGTAACGAATACAAAATGACCTCTTAAAATATTACAATATTTTTTTGTATTATAATATCAGTAATATCTACCTATACAGGGTGGTCACATAAGGATACTAAATAGGGAAATTTCGGAAACGGTAAAAAGTACAATATTGGTTTAATTACAAAAAAACTATAACTTGAATAATACACCTTCAATTTTCTTCTAACTTTCATAGATCACTAGAAAAATATAATTTTGCAAAACCCCTTGTTTTATTTTTTTGAATAACTTTGTAACAATGAATTCTATTAAAAGCTTTAAAATTTCAGGTACCTACATCTCTATTATAATATACTTATGTATATTTTGCACTGACTATTAATTTTGGTTCTAAACTATCTAGATTTTTGTTGACGACAGTCAAGTTTCCTTTCCTATCCTGAAGATGTCATATTCAATATTCACATTTCCTGATATTCCTTTATTAAGTAAATTTTGGACAATTGGTCATGGTCAATAAAATAACAAAATATTTAATTTGTTCCAGTCAGTACGTATAATAAGATAAAAATTTTTGTTAATAAGTTAAAATTTCTAATATATTTTTTCAGATAGGTACAAGAAAAAAGTTTTATATCCTAGACGAAAAAGAGACTATTTATTCGAAATATGATATCTAGCGATCTACGAAGGTTACAAATTGAACTATTGCCAACTTAATCCTGTAGGTATTTACTTTTAATTTAGCAACTTCGAAATATTTTTAAAATTTCAAGTATAAAAATGTGCTTTGTAATTTTTCCAAAGAATTTTGCTTTCATTTTCAAAATTCAATACCCGAAGTAACCGTAAGAGCAAATTAATCTTATTTATTTAAATCATGTGAATATACAGGTGTAACTAAAATATTTGGTTAAACTTGAATTGGTAATGTAACCAAAAATGCTACGTTTTTGATATTCGAGGTGTTCGAAGTTAATAAAAATATTTGATAATTTAAAATTTCTAATACATTTTTTCAGATACAAAAAAAAAATTTAAAAGGAATTTATATCCTAGACGAAAAAGAGACTATCTTTTTCGAAATAAGATACAATCATCTCCGAAATTATATTTGACAAACTGGAGTCTAGCGATCTACGAAGGTTACAAAATCAACTATTGCCAACTTTATCAATTGTCCCTCTTACCTGTATTTATTTTTAACTTAGCAACTTCAAAAATTGTTCTAAAGAATTTTGCTTTCATTTTCAAAATTCAATACCCAATGTAAGCGTAGGAGCAAATTAATCTTATTTATTTCAATCATATGAATATACAGGGTGTAACTAAAATATTTGGTTAAACTTTAATTTCTAATGTAACCGAAAATGCTACGTTTTTGATATTCGGGGTGTTCGAAGTTAATAAAAATATGACTTATTTCAATAATATTTTTATATCATTCAGATAATGTAGTTACTTACACAAATATTATTTCTGTCTGACGAATAATTTGTGTTTAAACACTTTTAACAATATTTCCTGGATATTGTCTGATATTTTATTTTTACCAAAAGTTTTGCAACATATATACCTAGTTAAAATATAAGTTTGTAGAGCTTCTGTTACTCAATTACAATAATGAGTCAAATTTAACATAACTTGTAAAAAAATTTCGAAATGACTTAAGTCCACCTCTAAAATTATGCCCCTTGATATAACCTATCTCAGTCGTTTTTGGGTAATCAAAAATTAAAGTTGTATGCAAGATTTAAAGGTAATCCCTTTAACTACTATTCTGTAATAAAAAAATTAATTTTTTATAATTTTGGTACCCTGCATCTCAAATATAAACCTCAATAGTTGGCTATGAATTTAGACGTCAGCAGTTATTGGATAGAGTAGACTTCAATTTTCGACGCAGAATAAATTTATGCCTGAAAGAAAACGGTGATCATTTTGAACAATTTCTATAATTGTATGTTATTTCTGTAGTTTAAGTTCTTTGTTTTTCTATTAAATTACCCTTATTCCAACTTGTTCCTGATCGTTAAGTTTGACTTTTAAATTCACAGCCAACTTTTGAATTTTCGATGATTTTAAATAACAGCCACAATATGTATTATTAGTTATTCGTGTTTTTTGTTGAAAACGTCAAGGTTTTTTGAAAACTACTAACAAGAGTAAGAAAAGTTTTAGAATTAAATTCGCCATAAAATAAAGTAATAATTTTTTAAGTCAATCAACCCTTTAAACTGCTTCAATTCCACTCTACACTGTCGATTAATGTTCCTGGTACAATTGCACCGTGTACCAAATTTACTCAGTTCAAGTATAACTGATATTAATTTTTTTCGAAATTTTAAATCCCACTTTCAAAGCCTATAACTTCTGAGGTGTGCGTTAAATCACCATATTTTGTATAACGCCATGTATTTAATTAGTTACAAATTTTGGAATTTTTTTTATTGGCTACCTACATTTACGTTTATCGAAGATATCAAATGAATTTTACTTATTCTGGGTGCAAATTCAGTTCTCATATTAAATATTATTATATTTTATCATTAAACTTAACTATAATAAATAAAAAATTATAAACACATACAATAAAAACGAGAGGTGATAAAAAACATATTTGATGAAGTAAAATAGAAAATATTGGTGACAGAATCTTGACTAAAGGTTAGTTTTCTATTTAATCAATCCTGGGCACTCACTCATTTTGTTTTAACTTTAATGTTTGAATTTTCTTATACATTTTACTATGTCTTATGAGAATGGATAAACCATTTCTGAATTTTGAATTTGAATTTTGAATTTTGACTCACGACTACGAACAAATATTTTCAATTTTTACTATGCACCAATCGTAAAATGATTTCTTCTTGCATTTATTGATTAAGCTGTAATAACTTAGTAAATATGTACATACAAATCTGATTCAATCTTTCAAACGTGTCCCTCTTTATCTTTGAAACAGTTCATGTTCAATTTCTTTCTAGGAAACAAAATAGAAATAATTAAATGAACTCGGCAAATAGGCATCATAAATTTTAAATTCAGGAAGACGTCTGTGTAAAGGAATGTCAGTCTTCCGAAAAGTAAAAAGAGATCTCACGTAGAGAAGCCCCGGTAACTTTGTTTTAGTATGTGGCGAGATTAATTAGCCCTGTGAAATATTGTTTTATGTAGTACCGAAAGCCCAGAGTCATTCTAGGAAAATATTTCGTTTTATTTCTGTAAATTTTTACCCCGTTATGCGGTACAGGTATTAGAATCTACCCTCCTTTAATATTTTTAAGAGTGATAGCACTATGACACCTCATCTAATGCATCTCTTTAAATAAAAAAAAGTTGGCCACCTGAATCACCAGGTCCAAACCAATAAAGAACAGTTCTAGTGTATAAAAGTAATATTTTTTTTATTTTACGTAATACTAAGATTATACAAGTGTTCCAAAGTATACAGGACTTCTAAAAAAAAAGAACACCAAAAAGTTTTCTGACTCAATACAGCAACTTGAACGGTCTAAGAACATGAGTATTTTAGATTGTCCGCCGGGATGCACTTCAGAATGTCGGTACAAGCATTTTGGATGGCTTCTACATCCACAAAACGCTTTCCTTTCATCAATCAGGCGAATACAGGAAGTGATTGACAGTTTAAACGCGATTTTTAATCAAAAAATCGGTCACAAGTGTCGATTGATGAGATGACACATTATCGTGCAACAAACATTAACTCCACGCGATATTCTGACTGAATACGATGCACAAAATGCTTCAGAACATCAAAATAGAATTGTGCATTAACTGTTTTGCTGTGGAAAGAACCCTTTGTAGACAATGCTCTTGGAATCGTAAAAGCAAATAAACATTCTCTTCACATGTTATGTTCGGCCAAAATGCGATAAATAGATGTTTTCAATACCAATTCCATGAAATTCAATGAAGATTTTGGTTGATCTTTGATAAATTCATGCACAATTTTGATGGAATCTGCGATGATCACGGATTTCAGTTGGTCAACATGTTGTTCATCATCCCCACTACCGTTTTTAAACCTCGTACTCATGAACTCTTTCACGGGATAAACAATCATCACCATAAACTTGGTTCATCCATTGAAACATTTCGGTAAAAAGTTTATCGACTTTCAAACAAAATTAGTTCAATGCTAATTTTTCTATGTAGGTACTGGTGACAC